CCTTGGTGCACCTCCATCTGAGGGGCCCTGGCCATCCTCTGTGTCATGTGTGGCCCTGCAGTTGGCTGTCCCGTACCTCAGTCACCTGGAAAAACTGAGAGGTGGAAGTAGAGGACAGAGCTGGGTAGGAATTCTAGTTTTGCTGCTTAAGAGGGTATGACATTAATTCATTCATAAATACTTAGAACCTACTCTGTCAGGCCATCCCTTCCCACCTCTGAGGCGGGGGCCCCTTCCAGGTGCATGGCGCACATGCACTGATGCTGTTAGAGCATTCGCAACATGTTCAGAAAGGGACTCACCATTTTCTGTCCCTCTGCACCAGAGTGTTCAAGGGCATTTTGCAGATCCTGAGCCCAGAACAAGGCCTGGTATCTAGCATGTGCTCAGTAAAGCTGCTGCAGAGCTGAAGATCAGTGTGGCAGGTTGAAAATGTCCCCCAAAGCTATCAGGCCCTGATCCTTAGAACCTGTACATGCCATCGTGTTCGGAAAGAGCGTCTTTGCAGATGTGATTAAGTGGGAGATCTTGAGATGGAGAGATTATCCTGGATTATCCCTAAAAGTCCTAAATGCCATCACGAGGGTCATTATAAGACAAGACAGAAAGAGCTTTCACTGACAAAAGGGAAGGCCACATAAGACCGAATGCAGAGACTGGAACGATGCGGTTGCAAACAGGGAAGGCCAGCAACTTCCAGACGCTGGAGGCAAGGGCTGCCGGAGGAGGTGAGGTCCTGCCAGCACCTTCAGTTGAGCCCAGGGTACTGATTTGGGACTTTAGAGCTGCAAGAGAATATGTACCTGTGGTTTTAAGCCACCAAGCTTGTGGTAATTTGTAGAGCAGCCACAGGAAATTCACAAACACCTACCTCCTCCGAGCCTCCATCCCCTCACGAGAGTCAGAGCTACCTCCCTCGGTTCTGTCTTGGGAGCAGTATGTGAGAAAGTGTTTGCAAAGCCCTCTGCACGGTGCTTGACACCTAGCAGGTGTTAACACAAACTCCAGTGACACCCCAGAGCCTGCATGCCCATGCACACACAGACACACACCCTTCATCCTGCAGTTCAGACGAATCTACAAACTGTCTTTAAGGGCCCCCTTGTCTCCCTTTCCCAGATAGTCCCAATGTATGTCCATGTTCTTATCTGGTTTTCCCAGTCGGTCTGGGCGCTCTCCCCTGGGTAATAGGGTTTGGCTTATCTTTCATTACATAACGAAGGAATATAAAATTCAGTGAACCCTTGCTAAGTCTGACTAATGGAAGAATTAAGGCTATCTCAATTTGTGAAGCATCTTAAACATGAGCTAGTTTTAAAGAAATCTGGAAAACGACTGCAAAGTGCCTATTTGGACAGAGCCCAACAAAAGCATTTCCTGGGAGGGGTGACTAGGGGGGTCATCCTTGATAAACAGATAACATGTTTTGCAATTATCCGGGCTATTATAACCAGGTAGCCTTACAGCCGTACCTGTGAGTGTCTGCAGTCTGTTCCTTTAGGTAAATGAGACTTAAGGGAAAACACTGCCATTTGGTTACAGTAGGAACCCATTTTTATTACTAATAATAACCATAGCAAATACTCCCTGACTGTTTACTCTCTGCTAGACATTCGCTGAGACTTTTTATACATTATCTCAGAGACACAGTCTTTTTTTTTTGTTTTTTTTTTTGAGAGAGATTTTCACTATAGGGTGTGTGTGCTCGCCAGACAGACAGAGGGAGACATAGAGACAGAAAGCGAGAAATCATCCCTCAGGGGGGATGGTCACGCCGCAATCCCTTCTCCTCCATTCTCCTCTCAGGATCTTGGGCACACACGCACACGCGCCCAGTGTGAGTTTTAAGCCATCAGGTCCGGGACGCGAACCACGGTCAACTATGTGGGAGTCCAGCGACACAGCCATTACGCTAACTGCTGGTTCCCACAGAGACACAGTCTTGAGGTGGGTACAATTATGATACCAAGACAAGGAAACTGAAATGCTAGAGGCAGAGCCAGGATTTGTCTGGAATCCATGTGACTCCAAAGCCCACACTAACCACTATACCACCCTGTCCCTACCAACCTCTGGCACCAAAGGCCAGCAACCCTGTGGCCCAGAACTTTGCCACACTCACCCTGCACCATGGCTCACACATGACCAAGGTGCCCACCTGGCCCTGTCCTAGCTTGTGTTACCATACATCCCAAACTATCTGGAACAGTGAGGTTTTTGTTGGAAATTAGCTGGGTAAGCAGGTAAAGTACAGGCATCCAACCACGTGGAATTAAAGCCATATGACCGCGGAGTGGAAGTGATTCGGTCTCTTAGAGAGGGAGGAGGAAGCTAAAGACTTGCATTATTGATGGGCCCAGAAGGAAAGTATTCTTCGAGAATGGAGCCATCAATTTCCATGGAGCTCTCTACTGAGAACTGGACACTGGAAAATGTGGCTCTCTGGTCGGTTTCTTCCCCTCCCCTATCTCTTTTTATTCCTTACCTAACTTTAGAAATAAAAGTGATGTGACTTATCAAAATACATGGAGTGCACCAGATAGTTAAAGCGAGGAAATCTGGTGGCAAACAACAGGTCGAAAGCAGCCCAGACGGTTAGAACACAAACTGCATGCCTTTGGGGCCCAGGCGCCTTCTAGAATTGGGCCACAAATTTGACTGTGACTTCTAAGCAGCTGTTGCTAAAGTAAAGGCCATCTGCCCAACACCAAGTGATTCTGAAAATCCACGAAGCAGCCCCTCCTCCCCTGCTACGGGTGTGTTGGTGACATGAGCTGTGCAAATTGAAGACTGCTTCCTCCTGGACACAATGGTTGGTCCAGCAGTGCTCAGTCCTGGTCTACCTTTGCAGACTCAAGCAGCCACCTGCCAGAGACGTCAGGAAGATGTTTGCTGCCAGCAATCATCAGGCCTGCCGTGTGGTGATGGGCATGGAATGCATCCCTACGCACACTTCTGGAGTTCCTGGATCAAACCATGCCTGAAATCCTTTGTCAGCCCCTGGATAGATCAGTCTTTTTTGCTTCAATGAGCTTGATTTTGGGTCCTGTCACTTAAAAATGAAAGTAAAGGCCATGACTAGTATAAGGGGTCTTCAAGAAGTTCATGGAAAGTGCATATCATGGAAAAAAAAAACACTACACGAGGATTTCAAAAAGGTTTTGCACCAAAATAAACTTGTATTTTAATCCCACTGCTTCCATTCTGAAGTCCCTTCATATAACATAAGCTGTGAAGGAAAATAAACAAAAACGAACAAATCACAGTTATTCAAGAGCAGTCCTACTGGGCTGTTGGTAAAGTCATAATGTATTTTTTTACGCAAAATACATCATGACTTCTGTAACAACCCAATAAAATTCCCTTGAGTTTTTTCCTATTGTATAAAAAGATGGTCTGCTGCTTTTGTATAGTTCTTAATGGCTCAAATCAGTTTCTTACCCTAAAAACTATAGATCTTTTTTGGGACCAGCAGTTAGCGTAATGGCTATGTTGCCGGACTCCCATGTTGTCAACCGCAGTTCGCATCCCAGACCCAGTGGCTTAAAACTCATGCCAGGCGCGTGTGTGTGCATGCCCAAGATCCCGAGAGGAGAATGGAGGAGAAGGGATTGTGATATATATAAAGTACAGATTTTTTTTTTTTAATAGAGAGAGGTCTTTGCTATAGGGCATGTGTGCTCACCAGAAAGACAGTGAGAGACAGAGAGACAGAAAGCAAGAAATCACCCCCCACAGAGGATGGCCATGCCACAATCCCTTCTCCTCCATTCTCCTCTCAGGATCTTGGGCACGCATGAACATGTGCCAGAGCAAGTTTTAAGCCACCGTGTCTGGGACTCAAACTGTGGTCCACTACATGGGAGTCCAGTGACATAACCATTATGCTATCTGCTGATCCCTAAATATATCTTCTTAGCACAGGATTAAGGACCTGCATGATCCAGGCTCTGCTGAGCTACTTCACCTCTTCTCTCTTCCCCTGGCCCAAGTCCTTCCTCTCTAGCCCAAAGGAAAGAACGAACAACATGCCATTCATAGGCATGACATAAGCACCCTGGCCTCAGCCCCTTGTTCATGTTGTTCATTTGGCCTGGAAGGTCCTTTCCTGCCTTTGTCTGCCTGCTACACTTCCACCTATCCCACAGACTTTCGCCCAGTAATCACTTTCTTCCCTGGCAGTGCAAGCAAGATACAATTTTTTAAAACAAATAATGATTCTATGTATAAGGAGTGTCCAGTACAGGCAAATACAGAGAGACAGAAAGTATATTAGTAAGGGAGGCAGGTACTGATGCAGTGGTGATGCAACTGGACCCACGGGGGAAAGGCCTGGCTTTGCATCCTGGCCCCTCCCTGGGAATGCTGGACATGCACATGCGTGCCCGAGATCCAGGCCAGCTGAGACTGGGAGTGGATCACTGTGTGGGAACCCTGTTGGGGTGTCTATCTGTCTGTCTGTCTCTAGTGGAAAATTAAATAAACACACTTTCAAAATGTCTCTAATGAATTAAACTATTAATAGAAAGAAGGCAGATTAGCACTTGCCTAATCCACCTGAGGGTTGTAGGGATGGGTTGGGAATGGTGGTCAGTGGTGCAGGGTTTCTTTTCAGGGTGATGACAATGTTCTAGAATGATCGTGTTGATGGGTACATGACACTAAATACACTAAAAGCCACTGAATTGTACACTTTAAAGAAATGGTTAAATTGTGTGATATGTGAGTTATATCTCAATAAAGCTTTGATGAAATACAAAATAACAATATACTATTAACAAAGAATCGAACAAATCCCAAGATATTGCAGAGTCATAGGACTGAGCAGGGAATGACGGTGTTTCCCTCCATGCCCAATTCCACGTCCAGCAGCCTCCCACGCAGCTGCCAGTGGAATCCAGAGCCTACACCGAGCAGGGCATCCTCATGGAGGCTCTGGCTTTAGGCTCCCGTCAATCCCCTCCCACGCATGACTGGCAGGGACTGTGGCAGGTACTCACTGTGGGCAACTGGCCTGACAGCAGGTGGCTGTCCTGGGCCAGCATGTTGGACATCATGATGGCCGGGAGGTCCATGGCCTGGTAGGAGTAGGCAGGGAGCAGACCGTTGGGCGCCAGGCCGTGGCACAGAGAGTGGTAGCTGGCTTCGTGGTCCCCCAGGTGCAGGAGGGATGGCTCAGGGAGGTTGGGAGGTGTTATCGGGGGGATCTCATAGTCTTCGTTGCTTTCACTCTGCCCGTTGTAGGTCTAAAACATCAAAAGGACATGTGTTGGTGGCCAGCATCTTACAATCTCAGAACAGTCTCAACAGCACCAAAAGCAGCAAAGACAATAACGATTACAACCCTTTGGAAAGGAGAGAAGGAATGATTCCTCCGTAAGGCAGAGGGTCAAGGTGGTCCCCTGACTCAGCTGTACTCCTGCCCCATCCCCAAGCGAATACTCCCTTCTACTAGAGACTACATAAACGCCTGCCCTTCTGAGGGTGGGGTCGGCTCCTGTTCACTGTTCCACTCTGTGTTCCCTCCAGATCTGGCCACCACAGGCCACCTTGATCCACCTTTCCACACCCACCCACTTACAGAGGGGGGAACTCAGACCCAGGAGGGAAAGCGGTTCACCCAAGGTTAGTGGACGAGTTGGGAGGATCCTCTCCTTGCCTGCTGGTCTCTCCAGGGCCACTGGGCGATGCCCAAGATCTTCTGTGCTCCCAATACGCAGGCCTGCCAGGGCCTCTGCATCTTTCTCACCTTGGTAAATGGTACGAGCTTTCCCCAGCAGCACAAGCTGGAAACCAGGACTCATCCTGGACACCTTCCCTGCCACCCTTACCTGTTTACTCTTCCCTGCCTCGGTAACCCCAAGACAACTCTGGATAGGAACAGTGAGAGCAGATACTCTTGCCTTTTCCCTATCTTAAACATTTCAATATTTCAGAGTTACGACGTTTGCCATAGGTTCTTTCAGGTATTCTTCAGCAGGCTGAAGGAACTCCTAATTTGTCAAAATGTGTGATCTTTTTCAAGCCAGCAGATGGTGTGGTGGTTAAGGGTTGGATTCCCACATGGCTGACAGTGGTTTCAGTGTCAGACCTGGTGGCTTGAAAATCACACAGGGCATGTGTACATACATGTTCAAAGTCCCAGGAGGAGAATGGACTGCAGCAAGGCCAACCTCCCAGAGGGTGATTTCTCACCTTCCCTCTCTCTCTCTAATGGGCATACACATTCTATGGGGAAAAATGTAAAAATAAAAAAAATGGAGTGTGGATTTTTTAATTTAGCAAATTATTTTTCCCTGCATCTACTAAAAGATTCAAATTACTTTTCTCCTTTAATTTGCTTAATATGGTAAATATTCCATTTAGTATTTTAATGTTAAAACAATCCTGCATTCCTGGAATAAACTCTACTTGGTCATGACATACTATTTTTTATACATTGTTGGGTTTAGACAGTTTGCCTCAGGTTCACAAGTGGGATTGGTCACAGTGTTCCTGTCTCATGCTGCCCTCATCAGGTTTTAGTATGAAGATTTAATTAGCTTTGGGAGTCATTCTTCCTTTTCTATGCTGTAGAAGAGATTAGACCTAACAGGAGAGAGATAGATGAAACAGAAGGTTGGTCTGAGGAAATTATCCCAAATTCAATATAGAGAGACAAAGAGACAATAGGAAAAGAAGTTACAAGACACTGAGGCACAACTGGAGTCTACTGGTAGGAGAAGAATGAGAGAATGGGTCATAGGAGTAACTGAAGAGATAATGGTTGAGAATATTTCAGAACTCATGAAGAATACCTAAGGTATTGGTGAATATGAGGTAAGTCTTAAATCAATCAATATACAAGAAAAAGACCCTCTAAATCAAAACTGCATATAAGAAATAACATCTAATATGTTACATTGTTTGATCAGTCAAGCAGCATGTTAATACAGCTAGGGTCATTGGAGCCCAACACAGCACCTGGTTCTTGGTAGATAAATCCTCCCTGACTATTTACTGGATGAAGCTACTGAGCAGTGGGATGGGTAGGTGAAGTAGAGTTAGTCTAGCAAGAGCAAGAGCCTGCTCAGTGTCAAGCCCTTCTCCTTGGACATCATGTGTGAACCTCACAATTCTCTGGAGAAGAGCCCTAGATTCACCTTTTCAAGCCATAGGCTCTGAGAGGGTGAGGGCTATGTCACACTGGCGCTACCCCTTGGGCCCAGAGCCCATGTGGCCACTTGCCCACTGGCTCCCTCTGCAGGTGTTGTGGGATTATTTCCCAGATGGGCAAAGGTGACCTGAGAAGAGACTGCCCATCTTCTTGTTGCACCTTCTCATTCTCTATTCCCTTGCTGGAGCCTCTCAGGCTCAGTCTTGACTCTCCTCTCTTCCTACTCTGCACACTTTTCCAGGGGACCCCAACCAGGCTGTTTTTATTTCCACCAGATGCCACATTTAACACCCAGCCTTGGTCATCTGTCTGAGCTCCCAAGCCCACTTAGTATTCTCACATGATAATCACGTTGCCCCTTCCCCAGCCTGCTTGTGTCCTCCTATCTCAGAAAATGGGACTCTATCCTCCATCCAGTGAGTCAAGCCACAAACCTGGGTCTCACCTGCAGTCAATTCCTACATCCATGAGACTTCTCCAAAGTACCTTAAAAATCTGCCAATTTCTCTCCATCCGCACTGCACTATCCTAGCCTGGGCTACCACCATCACTTACCCAGACAATGACAATGACCTCCCACAGCCTTCTCTCATCCCCTCTTCCTTCACATAACTGGAATGGTCTTTATAAAGATGATCATCTCACCATGTCGCTCCCATGCTTAAAATGCTCCAGTGACTTCCACTGCCATTAGGATAGAGTCCATAGCCCAGATACAACCCTAAAGGTCCTCACATAGCCTAACCCCCACCTCCCCTCCAGCCAGAGACCTTCCTTTCCTGCCTCTGGGGCCTCACATACACTGTTCCCTCTGCTCACCAGTTACTCCCCTTCATCTGGCTCATGCCTCTTCCACCTTCAACAGGTTTTGGTTTACATGTCTGCCCTACTGCTCTCCCGTGTAGCTCAGGCCCAAGCATTTCTCCGTGCAAGTGCTCGTCAAACTTGTAGCTAACTAGCTCCTTGTGTAATTATTTGCTTGATGTCTAATGTGAGTTCTGCTCACTGTATCCCTGACGTGGAGATCAGAACCTGGCAAATGCATGCTCAAAAACAATGAGCTGAATGGCTAACCAGGTGCTGGGGCAGGTGCTGTGGACAGACGTCTCACTCAACCTTCGTTTCTGCCCTGAAGGCATGTATCGTTGTCCCCATTATGTAGGAAACAAAGAGTGGAGTGGCTAAGAGTCAGATAGCTTGGGTTTGAACACTGACTCTGCCACTTACTGTGTGTGTGTGTGTGTGTGTGTGTGTGTGTGTGTATGTGTGTGTGTGTGGTAAGGGAGGGGGACTTTGGACACATTCCTTAACCTCTCTGTGCCTTACTTTTCCTCATCTGTGAAAAAGAAAGTAATGACAGTAGATGAAGTCTTCCAGAGTTCATAGAAAATGCATAAGAAAAAACTATTCATGGATTTCAACATTTCTTGCACCAAAATAAACTCATATTTTAGATCCATTTTTCCATGTATATTTTGAAGTCCCTTTGTAGATCTCCACAGAGTTGATGGGGAGTAAATGAATTAATGCATGCAAGTTGCTCAGGACAATGCCTGGCATGCAGTCAGCCCTCTGTGTTAGTTATTATTGCTGTCCTTACAGTCTTTGTCTGGAATTTCAGAGACAGGAAGGGATGCCCCCAAGAATGCAGAGCAATGAAACAGCCCCTTGCTGGCTCAGCCTCCTCACCCATGAATGTTCCTAACTCTCATGCCACAGGGTGGTGTCTGGCATCAGCCTGACCACCAAGATAGGCTGAGGGCTGATAGGCATTAGGTGGGAATTGGGTATGGGTATGCATACCCCGCCAAGCAGAATCTCACTGCCAGCCTTCCCATTTGGATGGCCTCTTCCAGGAAGCCTTCCCAAGCCCCTTGCCTATCCTATAGCATAACTCTGATTCCTCCTATGTAGGCCTGTGTGTGCTCCCTATATTTATTACCATCTGCAATTATTTTTGACTCTTCACATAGCTTTTGCTCATGTTCCCCTCTCTACAGATCTCGGCTTCCATAGCAAGTATTCTACTACAATGCAAATAATTGATACATGGAAAGGGGGAATGCCCCAGGCTCTAGCTAGGTTTGAACCTCACCTAGGTGTTTCCATATGTGTCCTTCCCAGCACACAGTTAGTCCTTCAGCCACCTTTGTTATGACTGTCGACTGCTGCCTCCCTCCTAGTACCTGGCAGATAGAACAGGGGCTAGCACATGGCAGGTGCCCAGTGAATGCTAAGTGACTACACGAGTTCATCCTTTCCAGTCAAAATCAGAACCTCACTCCTCTGGAACTGGCCCAATCAACCAGAAGTCTTTTGAAAAAATAAGCATATGTTGTACCAAAATATTGGAATAACACAATTATGACAATTCATTTAAAGAGGCAATTAGCACACTTAAAAATAACCATGCGAACATGTATACTTGTGACGGCAATCAAATCCTAAACGCATGACACCTGACACACACCAACCTGTCCTGCTTCTGATTTATAGCAGTACCTACTGTGCGCCAGCCACGGGACCCACCTTTTCCAGACACTTTCCATTTAATCCATCTGCATCCAGTAAAGAAGTGACTGCTATTTTTATTTTGTAGTTGAGGAAGATGAAACTTAAGGAGTAGAGGGATCATATAGCCAGTCAATCTTGGCTGGAACTCAGACCCAGGTCTTGTGAATCCAGCATTTTCCTACACAAAGTCCATGCCTCTTCAAAATTCCTATTTCAGGCTTCCCCTGAGTGAGACTGGCTCCTCAAGGATGCCTAATTTGCTCTCTGCCACCTGAATCTTCATAAAAATACAAGAAGAGAGGTCAAGCTGGAGGAGCTCCAGGAGTTACATATATTAGTAACACCTCACAGGACACCTGCAGAGAGCTGCCCCTTCTTTTCTGCCCATTCTTTCTCTTTCTTTCTTTTTATTTTTGTTAAGAGGTTTTTTGCCATAGGGCGCGTGCGCTCGCCAGACAGAGAGAGACAGAGAGACAGAAAGCAAGAAATCACCCCCCAGGGGGGATGGCCACGCCGCAATCCCTTCTCCTCCATTCTCCTCTCGGGATCTTGGGCACGCACGCACACGTGCCCAGC